AGTATACATTCCAAATCATCAGCTAATTATTCAGGTGAAGGATATCTACATGAACATCTGTACATAATATATTCTTCGTGCTCTGATGATTTTTCGTCTGGCGGAGACTTCAGACTTCATATCTATGCCCGTTGGAGGACATGAATCTACACCCAATAACGCAAGTCCCTCGGCCAGTTCTTCAGGCTTCGAGGATGTATAGTGTCTGAGATCTAGTAGATTAATTCTCACTTTGAATGAACTGACAACCTGAAGGAGATTTTGAAGGGATAAAAACTTCGTATTTTACGAGGAAACATGAATTCGACATCCTATTACACGAGTCTTTCGTCCAATTCTTCAGGCTTCGAGGATTTAGAGTCTGTTTGCGACTTTAGAAGTCAAGTTCTGTCCATAGTGGTCTTGAATGCCATCGCAATAGTTCCACCCTCCTTGACCCTCATTATCATCCTTATCCACAAGAAGCTAAGGAAGCAGCATAACATCATACCTTTCAATATCATTCTTTGTGATTTCTTCGTCGTTGCCTTAAGCGCGTATCTCCTTGCAGCGGATTCAGGGGGTTCAGCGTCAGCGGTAAGGAAATGGACCTCAATCATTAATGCGTTTAGTAAAGATACATGTTATGTATATACATGCATATATATATATATATATATATATATATATATATATATATATACCTTTATATTTATGCACATTATACACACATGTACATTCACACCCACACCCACATTTTTTGGTTCAATGTTGTTGTTTTTTTTATTCCAAACGATACAAATCAATCTTAGAAATTTTATTACAAATATTGTACGATTGATGAAAACAAAAATGAAATCAGTTGTAAAATAAAACACACGCACACACACATACACACACACGCGCACGCACACACAAGTTCATAGTATTTGCGTGCGTGTGTGTGTGATAAAAGTTGAGGAAGGCCATATTTGATAAGCAACAACACTAATTGTCAGCTGTCTCTTTTAATCATCCTTACAATGATTTAACTTTATAAATAAATGTTCATATTTCAAAATCATGTTTCATGATGACTATACCGGATGTGTCAGTAAAACAATTATAATAGCCGATGCAGTACTTTTTAAGTTGCTGACGATTATATTCTTGTTGCATTTTTGCTGAGACACACTAAAAATGAAATGTACTTATCTGTACCGTGTGCAGTGCAGAAGGTTTTAACATCGATAAATCTTTCCTGAATTTTCAATTACAGGAGACCAGCCTTTTCTATAATTTCGTGCAGACGCTACTTCTACCAATCACCTTCTCCTCTCCGATAAGCATCCTACTCGCCGCCATCTACCAGTTCATCAACATCTGCGTAGACCCCTTTGGTGCCCGCCACATCATCACCACACCCCGCATCATCGGCGCCTGCATCCTAACCTGGCTACTCCCATTAATCCTAATTGGACCCTTCAATTGGACAGGCCTTGATCAAAATTTATTGTTGGTATTTCTCGGATTTGAGGTCGGAGCTCTCCTATTCACAGGCCTCTGCTATGTCTTCATCTACAGAGCAATCTCTATAGGTCCTCCAGGTGTCACCTTTTCGGAGGAGAGAAAACGCGAAAACGAAACAGTTTTTCTCACAATTTCACTAGTGTATTTAACAACATTGATCCCTAAATCTTTCTATCTTCTCGGGAATCTCCTGTACATATATTATGGTGCTGTTTGCAGCATTTTCATTATGACAGGTGTAGCATACAACGGGGGTTGTGTTCTAAATAGTCTGGTTTACTGGTGGCGCCTAAAAGAGTTTAGATCTTTGATAACACAGTGTCGAACAAATAGAGTTGATTTACAATAATTGGTGCACTGATACATGGAAGTTACTGGCGGGTCCAAGTTGGTGGTGGTGTTGGGGGTGGGTGCACCTGCAGATCCTAACGTTCAGACTATACCCAACTTGAATAGGAATTTTGTTCAATCTTCTTTTTCTCTAGATACAGTGGAATGTTGAGGCTGATAATCACTGTCTTAGATATGTTATGTTAAATGTGTAGTTGATTGTTGCGAGGAACCGAAAGCATCGGTGTCATGAATGTGTTATTTATTCTTATTTTATTATATCCATACGTTAAATTAATAATCAACGTATACAAATTACAATGGACACAGTATCTGTCCTTGAGGGACACCTACACGATATACTTGATATTATCAGTAGGTCGGAGGAAGGGAGATCTAGGGTACTCTGTGACAGTTAAATTAATTTTATGAATCGGCTCACAATATAAAGAGATATTTATTTTATTCCTGTCTTTATATTATATAATTATAACAAGAAATTCTTAATTTCTGAGGAAATGGGGGAATCCACTGCAAAAGCAGTGCATGTAGTTTGTGGATCCCCCAGAAAAAAAGTTGTATTAGATTATGCCTACGAAGACTTGGAAAATACAAAAATAATATTACAAAACAAAAAACAACCACGAAACGACAAGGAGAAGTAAAACAGATTTTTAAAAAAAAAAAGAAAAGGGGGAAGAAGGAAGAAGGAAGAAGGAAGAAGGAAGAAGCAGGATAAATCATGATAATCGAAGAAAATGTAGTTATAGTGGTGATTCTGGGGAGGTAAGATTATAAGACCAAATTAATATTAAAGTAATCGAGCAGCAGATCAAGACCTAAATAAAAAATTAAGATGATTACCAGGTGTTATCAAATTATTATTGTATATTACTATGATAAAGTTTGAGCTAAAAATATTTTAGTTTTTTTTTCTTGAAAGAATTTAGGGATGGACTTTTTTAATACCTTCACTTAGAAAATTCCAAAATCTAGGACCATCATACGTGAAAGACTTCTTCGCTAATAAAGTTCTAAAGAGTAGTATGTGAAACTCGTTAGACCATCTAGTTGGGTAATCATGAAATGACCGTTTTAGGGATAACATGGCATCAAATATATTATGTGGAAGGGTCTTCTTCTTTTTTTTTTTTTTTTTTTTTTTACTGTACTTATACATAAATTGTCCTTAGTGAAATAGATACAGGTCATTTGTTTTTAATAGTCTGCTATTAACAAATAACGGGTCTGTGTGTGAGAGTATAGCAGAATTGTAAATAATACGAAGAGACTTCTTTTGTAATAATAACAATCTATTTAGTAGAGTTTGCTGCGTATTGCCCCAGGCAAGCATCCCATAATTCAGATATGGGGAAATAAAGATAAATAAAGCATGAGCAGGGATGATGTCGGAAAATGACATAAGTTTATTTATTACGCCAATATTCCGTGAAATGATCTTACAATGCATTATCTTTATGGTATTTCCACGAAATTCTGTTATCAACAGTTATGCCTAGAGATGTAATGAATGAAACAACTTCCAAAGGGGTATCGTCAACAAAATTATTCATGGGCAGTGTGTCTATAGAATTACTAAATAACACGTTGTTGTTTGTTTCTTTTAGGTTAAGGGATAGTTGAGTAGTTTTGATCCATCGGGTGACTTTTTCAAGTTCAGAATTTACAACATTGACTAAAGTATTTGGATTTCTGTGGGAATAAAATATATAAGATCGTCTGCAAAATATACATATATATGAAAGGACATCGGACGATTTATGATGGTTTAATTGCCTTTGTACGCTATAAATAATGATGAATTAAGACAGAGTGAACAAACTATCGCTAATTAATTCTTATTTTATTTCTTGTTCTTCTACTTTGCATGATAATTTTGCTCGAATTGATTCGTTGTCCCATAATGATTATTGGTATGATCCTGTAACTGAAACAATATATTTTAATCTTATAACTGAAAATGATTGTTGGATGTTTGTAAAATATTAGAACACACTTATTCGTGTTGCTATGATAATGCAAGTTGTAAAGTATTGAAACAGAAAATTCATCCAATAAATCAACCTTTGGTTTATTTTTTATTTTATCAAGTGTTTTTTTCTTCTAGTAAGTTAAGATTGCACAAATTATCCCTGTCCATAGAAAAGATGATTGTGATTTATTCAAATGTCATCAACCGATATCTGTGTTGCCTTGTATACCGAAACCATTAGAAAAATGCGTTTATTTCGTTTATATGATTCCCTTAAAAAAAAAATGTACTTTCTGATTGTCAATTCGGTATTGGGAAAAAACATTCTGCAGTTAACCCATGCTTTAATTGATTTACAGGATAAAATAACCTTAGCAATTAAAAATAATAATTTTTGTATTGGAATATTCATGGATTTATCAAAAGCTTTCGATTTTGTTGATCAATCAACTCGTTTGTCAAAATAGTATTTCTTTGCAATACGTGGGATCCCATTTCAATTTTTTAAAGATAATTCACATAATCGTCTCCAATACACTATGTTTAAAAAGTTCTACAGCCAAATTTTGGTTATGACATGTGGAGTCCCCCGATGGTCAATATTAGGGATTCAGGATTTCAGGTGTGAATATTTTTAGAATAAGGTGACATTTTATTAAAAATTCATATTATAACATCCTAACCACAAAACAGTAACAACTTATGAATTACAAATACAAACAATAAGATACCTGTGTATAGACGGTCTTACGTTTTTTAAAATCAGCAAATCATCAATTTTACAATCAAGTTATCTGCGCATGCCCAAATTGCATTAACATACATGACTATGTATAAGGTTCGTTACAATATAGATAATTTGTGTTATTATTTCCTATAATTAAAGAAATTTAACTGGGTACGTACTAACGCTTACTTTTCAAAGCCTTCCGGATTTAGCCTTTACGAATCTCTGCAAATACCTAAAATAAGGTTGAAAGCTTTTCCTTTTAATTCTAGAGCTTTATAACAAACAAGACAATTTAAATCTGTAATTGCCAATTAAGTCATCCATAATTTCATTTAAACAATCAACTTGGAGCATACACCATTAGGGGTTTCAGTAATGGACAACTTTCGTCTATTGATAAAATCTATTTGCAAATGGCAATACCAATACATTATGCAGCGTTTACTTCTTTCTTTAAACAAAAGAGATCTCTTTGCAGGAGCGACTGACGTGGTCTTTTACTCATTTTGTGATAATGATATTGCACATAAAGTGAATGCATAACAAGGTACCTGTCATCATTGCTTTTGATTAATGCTACTACCCTAGGGAGCCCTCAAGTGTTTTTCTTGTTGCAGAGGTGGCGTCATTTCGCTGAAGCATGAATAACAAATAAAATGACTTGGTTAATCACGACACCTTTATGTCAAGTGCTCTTAATGAACAGAGTCAATAAAGACTAGTTCACTCTGCTTACAAAGAAAGGGAGAGTGATTTTTAACATAGATGACTTTCTAGATATAATTATGTTTACGTTGTGAGTGTTCTCGTGAGAAATCTCTTTGGTTTAATCCTTTTTTGATCTTGACATGTTTCAGTTGTCGTCAGAGAGCATGAAGTATAATTGATAACTGACACATATTTGTAAAGCTTAGATCCTCTTCTTTCATTTGATGCAACTCATATGATGCATATTTCACGCATGAGTGATCAAAACAAATTTGAAGAGAGGAAACCAAAAAGTCATTTGGCGGGCGGTATCTGAATTTCAAGGAGACGTCACATTTCTGGAAAGTTCAATTTCTACCCTTTCATATGAAAACTCAATCAGGAAAAAAAAAGAGCCATTTCTAAATACTTTCAAGTTTTGAATTAATTTCATTATATGTGATTTAGTTGATGTTAATTTATTTTCATGTACATGTACATCAGCTTTATAGTTACAATCCTGTCAATGTTTAAAAAGTTTTATCAGATTTTTGTAGTTGATTGATTCATTTACCATCAGCAAATAAGTACCATGCATTTCATTCAACGATATTTATATGTTCAAGAATAAGAAAATAATGGTTGGTAAAATGGGCTGGATAATAGCATAATGTGCTAGTCGATCCTAACGCCTTACAGATAAACAATGTATTTTGTACAAGTAAACTTCAGAAAACAAAACAAAAACAAAGAAAATAATTAAGCATTGCAATCAATATATTAAAAATAGATAACTTTAACAATGTCTTACAAGATACAAACTGATGTTGTGAAATATATTTTTATACATATTATACAGACTATTTGCACGGATTATTTATTCATGATTTTTTTTTAACAAATGTGACAGAATCTGACATCAATAGGTAATCACGTAACTAGCCACAAGAGACAATGAAAATCGACCTTGTGTCTTTCAAAATTTTGGCAGACGTAATTTTTCACTTTCTCTTTGCCTTGTGGAGTAGCTAATTTACTATAGAATATCACAGTAATCTATCAAAAGATGAGGCAAAATTTTATGAAACAGATCAAACATGAAAGTAATGGAGCTGAATAAGTTCTTCACTCTCTAAATGCAAAAAAGCACGAACTACCATTTTCTACGAATACAATATGCTTCTTAATAGGCTAACCTTATATTGCTCCCTTACACCCGTGTGGTTTTATCCACGTTTTATATAATGATGGATAATGACAAAGTACGCCTAGGAACAAAATATCGCACTCCTGATACACTGATTTACATAACGAATATGACTATTCCATGGCATATTTCTATCATTAATGGCAACATCAACTTCTTGGATTTTCTCTCCAGCTATGTTCAGTTTACCGTTTATACCTATTTTTTTACTCCTACTACTTATTAACATGAAATACGTTTTCATTGAATTAATTGTAAGTTTGTTAGCAGTGCCCCACTTTTCCGTGTGTTGTTAATGACTTCATCCACATTAATTTCGCCCTGGTCAGATGGAAAAGTATGAGTTATGTTAGAATCATCGGCAAACAGCCGCAAATTGAAATAACCAGTTACTGATGGCAGATCAATTATATAAATAAAAACAGAGTTGGCCCTAGTATTGATCCTCGTGGAACACCACATCTTATCGTATATCTTATAGATAACGTTTAATCACATCGAACAATTTGGATCTGTTACTAAGATAGTCCTTAAACCATGCAAAAGGTTAAACTCGATTGCCATGATTAGACAGTTTTGCTAGTAGTATAGATTAATGGTGTCAAACTTGCTTTCTTAAAATCGATAAATATGCCAAGAGTAAATCTCACTTCTTCGTTCCTGTAAAAGCAAGCAATGTAATAATCGTGATGCAGCGACGCATATTACAAGAGGGTAAAAGTGTACACACTAATGGGTGTAATGTACTCAAATTAAATAAGGTGTACGCAATATTGGGTTTACAATGATTTACCTAACAAACATTTCTTTAACCAATGTTTGGTCAATTTGATAGTCCCGAATTGTTTTAGTATTTAAACCCGACTCTGGATTTAAACATTTGTGATTTAAACAAGAAAATTGGGCGGAGATTTAAGTTTTCTTTCATGCATGATTTTAGACCCTGGATAGGACAAGAGAATACGAACCTTACAGTAAACCTTCATTATGTTTCGAGCAAATTTAATGATTTGACTTGTTAAAATCAAATAACAGGTACTTGGAGGATTACAACAATCATAATAATAATGCTGTTTTCATAGTTTGTCTGAATAACGAGGCATATAAACCCTGAATTAAATGGTGATATGGAACAGATTGAGCTAGTTCTCTAAACACTGGTGTCTGTGTCATCATCTTCCATTTGATCCTTCCGAGGATCAGCTGACTTTGTTCTCTCGAACGCATAGTTCTCGCAGAGCTCTTGGCAATCCCCACGATTCATGCGTTCGAAAGCCTTGGCCAAGTCCCCAAGGTTCTGAATCTTCTTTTGACTCTCCGCAAGAACAAGTAGTTCTTCAGTCGGATTCTTGCACTGCTCCAGTGATTGTATATAGTCGTCAAGTCCCAGCTGAATGGCAAGACCCCTCCAGTCACCAAAGACTGGGCTATCTCTGTTCAACCGGCAACGCAGCTCATGCTGTAGCATAGGAGGTACTATGGAAGCAATTGGAAGAGGGGCAGCAGTATTTCCTTGAGGATTATTCCCTTTGGGATTGTGGATGACCATCTCTTGGACGTAGATATTGACGTTCCCAGAACGCTGGTGCATATTTCGGTCTGCTGAAAGTCCTGGAACGAATTCTTGGACAATGTTTTCCACAATTGCTGATTGGGCTAAGACTCCCATTGTCCCCTCTGCTGCAGACTCTAATGAATGAACGGGCACTGTCGACGATGTCGGAGCTTAAAACAAAAAGAACAAAAAGATGATATGACGTAAATCAATTACATCTTTCAACTTTCAGTAGAGCATGTGAAGGAAATAATCGTTTATCACAAAGTATACGCTTTTAAAGGGCTTAAGATATTATTACCCCGGTTAAGTTCCAGCAACCGTTTAAGGTAGCCCGCCCACTTATTACACATGGATCGAGTGTAGCATAATTATAACAAATATTTTTTTACCAAAGGATTTTGTTCGTTACTATATGTAACATAAAATCAAATGTCAGTAACTATTCACCTCAAAGTTACGATTGATTGAGGAGATGAGATAATTTTTTGTGAGATACAATTGACTTTGTCGCAATTGACTCCTTACCAACTGCCCCTGTCTCTGTCACCAAATCATGTGTGACTTGGTAGGCATGTTCATATGACGGTGACTCTATCGATGGTGGAGTCAACGGCCTAGGTCTTGTAAGGAGTTCAGTAGGACTACCTCCGTCTGAAAAAAGGAAACGAAAAAAAAAAAGCTTTTAGAAAATAATTAAAACCAGACTCCGACCTGTGCTGTAGAGAACTCTGACTGATCCGTTATTTTTCGCACGTCGACTCTTGTAGCGAAGAGATGAAATTGTTCAATTTAAAGAGTAAATATTATACGGTATAAAAATACAATGATAATACAGTACAGGATAGTTAAAACAAAGGCCAATTTCAAGAATATAGGCCGCAGTAGCCTCCCAAAGAAGCACATGCAGAAAACGAATGCTAGAAGACCCCACCTCCTGCGTCCTCCTGCGCCCCCCCCCCCAAGAAAAAAATTTAAAAAAAAAACTTTTTATACATGTATTCCTCCAAGACCGCTCCTGATAGGACATAGTCTTACCCTTTGTGTCTGCAGGCTCAGGTGATGTTGAACCTATCGTTTCAAGATGATGCTCGCTTCTCGTCAGCTCTTCGGAGAGCTGAGATGCTGAAAATGCAATATTCAATCAAAATCAAATCAGCAATTCAGCACATATACAATTTTTTTCTCTCGATTTTGTTAAAATTGTCTCTTTACAGAATAAGGAAATTGTTTCATATAACAAGCTCGCCGAAATCCCATTGAAAGCGTGTTCATTTTCTTGCACACATTTCTTCACTTTTACCCATGACGATCTCGTAAAACGATGCCCTGCATATCGAAAAGTTTGTGTGTTTTTTAATCTTACATGTTGATGTTCCCCGTCCAACATCAGTGGGTTCAGCTTTGTCTTTGGTCGATGTAGATCCTTCCGGAGTTGATTGGGCACTTGGATTCTCATGCGGCGCATCTAAATTGTGAATACATAATATCAAAGTGAGGAGAAGCGATTAGCCTAAAATGATACTTTTTCGAAATTGGAGTCACTTGCCATGGTGCTTTTGCTACACTAAATGAACTGTATAGCATTGTACGTAAAAGATAATGTGCATATAATATATATATATATATATATATATATATATATATATATATATATATAATACAGGGTGGCCCAATACAATTCAATGATGTGGGTCGAATTCACTGGTACCAGCAGTAGTAGAATCTTTTCACATGAAAAAAATGATACCAGTATTGACAAAGCCGGTAAAAAAAATATTTTTTGTCTTCTCGAGCATTTTGTCCAGGATAAAAAAAAAAATTAAAAAAAAAAAAAAAATCAGTTTTTCAGAATTCGTATAATATCATGTCTTTCTTACACAAGTCATTAAAACGCCTGAAAAGAAAGAAAGGAATTCATGCTCTTGATATTACCCTTGTACTGTACTGGGAAGGTGATCTTCTTCGTGATTTTTTGCTTCAAGATGAAAGTGACGAGAACTCTGGATACTATTTGTTCACGTGGCTGAAGATTGAAGGGCATCCGATGGGTCGTCATGTCAAAGAAAGCACATTCTTCAAGTTCCTAAGAAAATCAGAGATAACCATCAATTAACACCCTTCGAAGTTTAATTTAGGAATTGTGACATGGTTTTTTTTCTCATTTAAAAGTGACAACATGAATTATGGCCAAATTTGAATCAAGTTTCCCAACATTATATTATAACGAGAACCAAGTAACCTGCAAACTAATTCTATTTATTGGTCCGTCTGACGTGTATTAAAGTCCAGAGTGTACTAGAAGCACAGCGGTAACGGTCCCGTAACTCGTTGCGATGATGGTTATCGCTTCGAACCCTCTGTCTGCAAAGCGGAAACACAAGCCATTGGATGTGTTGGTAAGTTGACCATGAAGTGGCGCTGTGCAAGTAACAGTACGCTACAGCAGAAAGTTCATCAGTACAAATTATATTGAGATTCTTACATCTTTTGACACTTCCTCTTCGTTTTCCAGATGTCTGACGAAAAGAGGTCCTTTTCCCCAATATACACAGTACTGCTCTCCAGGAAAGGCTACCTTGTAGTCTTGTATGGTATCCTGCAAAAGGTTGAACATTATATGAATCCATATTGACAGAATGATAATAACAATAATACTAATAACAATAATAATTGCAATAATGCTGTTCTTCAGAGGACACTGCGCTATGCTCTAGCAATTGTCAGGAACTCAGATACACCTGGGTGACACATATTGACTAATGTCTTGCCAAAGCACGTTAGCGCCTGGCTGGCATTCGAACCCTCAATCCTTTGATTCAGCGTCAAGTGGAGTGAATGACGACTATACCACGACACCTCCACGAAAGCGGGTGATGAATCTTGTGTGAGTCTTGAACTGATTATTTACTGCAAGGTGCGAAACGTTTATCTGGTTTGAATTTGTTGTGACCCCCCCCCCCAAACCCCCTTCGTGCACGGACCACTCTTCTCAGAAAAAGTTATACAATAAAGTATTGACATCGTAACCAACGGAAGACCGGGGACAAAAACAAATTATCTCAATGAATAAGGTATACAAATTTGGATCCCTTTACCGGTGTTTGCCTGACAAACAAAAATACAGTGTAAGTTGCAATGACTTACTATATGATTTCTGTCCATTATAACATTTAATTAATTCAAATTCATCTTTGTGCACTTAAATTTTAGCCTGGGAATCCGGGATCGTGCAAATGTCAAAGTTGATTTTAGTTATTATGTCTTCCAGGTTTAATAGCCAATGGTCACTCATTATCAACGAGACAGGACCTTATAACGAACGAGGGATGTATTCGATGATGCTTTGGGGGATTTGGTTGCAAACTGACAACATCGATTCATGCAATTGTACGTTGGCAGCTACGGATGACGAACTTGATTTGACTTTGACGAAACTAGATGCAAACTTATGAAATCGATTGGACAAAGTCTGAAAATGAATGACCAAAAGCGAAATTGACTATGACATGTACTAGATTTATTTATTTATTTATTTATTTATTTATGTATTTGAAAATATTTCCTCAGGATAACAAGATCAGAAAGGACTGGTTTACATCCTGGTCCTGAATAATAAAAGCTTACACTAAAACATCAAAACAAAACAAAATCATACATATATAATGAGCATTGTTAAAATACTCATGGAGTCATGATAACAATATTTAGTGACCATAATCTTGAGTAAAAACCAAGGCAAAATTACATGATATTTATTTTAAATATATAAAAAACAATAATGGAATCAAATAATCAACTAATTTATTTAAAATCAAAAATCTATCACAATACAAAATGAACTTATATCATGAAGTACAAAATTAAACTTAAAGCAAAAAGAGTAAAAACGACGATGATATTATTCATAATTTGCTGAAATAGGTTTTCTTATACTTGTTTTTGAAACAGTCGATGGATTGTGTATTTTGTAGGTTAGAGGGTAAATTATTGCATACTTTGCCGCCTTCGTAACGTAAACTATTCTTGAAAATTTCAATATTAGGCTGGAAAGTTTCGTGACGAAATGAGGAAGAAAAAACAAAACCATAACATGGGCTAGAAATATACCATACTGTTAATTCAAATAGAAATACCTCTTTCGTGCCGTAGAAGTCGTCTTTAATGACGAGCAAGATGTAGTTCCTGACGCCACTGTATGTTGACTGGGGAACGTATGGCGTACATGTGAGCCGTTTACCGATGAAGTATCTCTTGATTAAGGAGATAATCCACCATTCCGAGAAATGGTCTAAGTGCAGAGTAAGGTGATTATTTGCGACTACACACCGAGCAGCTTCGTCAGAAGCAGGAACTATCCTTGAGAATTCGTCAGACTCTTAGACCATAAACAAGAGGGGGACCGTGTTAATATTGTTAAGCAGTGAACTGTCAATGGTATGAGATTTACTTTCCCCCAAAAAGGAAATACAAATATATTATGTAAGGTTAGCGGATTTGATGGGGAGCTTTGTTGGAGGGTCGTTGTTTATACATGAGCAATAACGACATAAATGTTATTTGCTATTTGGTTACTTATAAGTTATTCAAACACAAAGACTGAAACATTTTCTTTTAAGTGAATTTCTATTCTAATAGAAGTTTCTCAAGTGAAACTCAGTGAAGTAGAACATTTTCAGATGAACATCAAAATTGAAGTGAGGACATATGATACCAAGAAATGTAAGAAAAGATTGATTTTGTGTGAAGATCTCTGTCATAATTGTGATGTGTTCGTCGTTGCAGTCAGGGGCTATCTGCATTGTCACAACATATTTCCCCTATCCCATCTCATTTTGTTTGTCTGACCAAAGAACATTAAGTGATTGAATACACTGTAATTTAATCAGTCGACTGTAATATGTTTGAATACAATGAGAAATGTACACTAGATCATTTAATCGCGATACCTCTCGCACTTTGAAAGTTCAGTTCAAAGCTTGATTAATGACAATAATCAGTGGTTGATATGGACATGTTACAGAGACTGCACTGTGCGCAAAGTTCTTATTGAAAATTGCTTGAGTCGAATTTATAAAAAAATGAATAATTAGTTAGAAACATCATCGTGTAATTTCAATGCGGAAGTTGACCAAATGTGGGTTTTAATAGGAGAAATGCTCCTATGCCCCTCTCCCCCCCATCCCCGGATAACACAATGCTTCTCCAGTGTTTATGTTACAGACCTCTAACCTAATGGACAATTGTGAATTATGCCATGCTCATGGCATACCGTGGCCTGAGCTAGACTGGGTTTTGCTCCACTAGGGCAGTAGTGCCATTAGGACTTTGACCATGGACCTACTGCTCTGACTGAGCGTTAAGTCATAGTGATCCAGGTCCAGATTAAACTTAGTTTGGATCTACATTACAAAACAGAAAAATGTCTCTCTCCTTAGCTTCCGAATGCTAGCTAGCACCAGCGCCAAAAAGTTAATAAACAAAATTATTGATACTGCCAAACATTTTCTTCGTCTGATTTTGTAAAACATATGTCAAAGGGATAGTTGAGTTTATCTTTAAGACCGCAAATGCCTTCAAAGTGCATGGTTATTGCTCTTATTCTTATTCATGTCATTTCCAGTGCCATTTAGTGCCCATTTTAGACCCCAAAGTGTGTGAAATTAAATTGATTACGATCATACCGAT